ATAGGTTCAGGCATGTTGAGTAAGTTGATTATGGAAATAATCATATATATAATCAATATATAGAGGAAGCACAATGAGATTATATGGAAAAGAGCCCAGGCAGGACCCCATTTATAACATATTTTGCCTCAAACTGCTCTAGTGCAGACACAGGATAAAACATATGTAATGTGTGTTTTTAAACAGCTTCCAAGACTTCAGAAAAAAAAACAAGGAATACCTTATCTAATTTAAGATGCAAGCAAAAAGCTGTTTAAAAGGAGTCACCCAAATTGGAGTTTAGCCAGGACACCACTAATTTGACCAAGAGTACTCTGAAGCACAATCCAGCTCAGACAGAAGTCAGTGGAATCTTTTCATTGACTTCAACAAGAATGAGATCAGGGCCACTGTGACAAGCAGCACAAAATCTAACAGATTTGCTTTGCAGTCCAAAAAACAAAGACCCTGACAATCTCCAGAAGCACTTTATCCCCCCCCATCATACCAGGCCACTGGCTGAGAACATCACCACCTAGTAAATTACATGTAGCACAACAAAGATTAGATTTAGCAACCAATCATCTTACCTTTAAAGAGAAATAAATAAGGATTTTTAAATAATAATTTTAACATTAAACACAGTATTAAAAACCAGTTGTTCATTTTTCCAAATAAAAGTTCAAAGCTATTTATTCCATACAGACTATCATTTTCCTGTTAACATGAAAGTAGTGAAATTAGGACAGAAAAATGCCTTTTGCATTCACACTCAACATAAAATATAAACTGAAATTTAATTACCATTCTCTTCCAACCAGTGTAGTTTTAATTTAAATTCCTTTATTGCTACAGGATCTGTGCAGGCATCTCAGTTAGTAGGATTTGGGGACAAAATTAGTAAATTATTTGGCCCAGCATCATTATTTCATTCTTCCACTGAAGTCCCATGGAAAAATTCTCATTATTTTAGAGGACTCAAGCAATGTTTCCACTAATTTTTTCCATCCATGTGTAGAATACATTTTGTTATGAGCACTGAGGTATGTGCCTATGTGCGCCACCAGTAGAAAAAAAAATATATATATATATTTTTTAAAAAGTTACCATAGGGATAATTAGTCCAGCCAGGACAAGTTAGGCATTTTAGAACTCACTAGTCAAAGAATTAAATTTAAGTGTAAGAGAAATAAAAATTATGAAATGCATAGACCAGTCAAAACACTAAAATAACACTTTGAAAGAATAAAATTACAGCGAATATATATGCATTGAAGGAAGTACCAAGAAGTAACAATAATAATACAAGTATGTGTTGGAAGGTGAGCGTGAAAGAGACTGTGTGTGTGTGTGTGTGTTTGTTGTCTGCTGGGGAAAGCTGTAGGCTGTCTCTTTAAGAAAGGCACTCAGAATCCGAGGGCTTGTCTATACGTACCAGGGGATTCATGCACAGCGATCGATGCATTGGTGGTCGATTTAGCACTAAATCGGCCGCAGATCACTCTCCTATCAATTCTTGTACTCCGCTGGATTGAGAAGAGTAAGGAGCATCGATAGGAGAGTGTCTCATGTCGACATCACGTAGTGCGGACCCTGCAGTAAGTAGATTTGAGTTACGCTATTCACGTAACTCAAATTGCGTAGCTTAGATCGACTTTTCCCTTTAGTGTAGACAAGGCCTCAGACACTCACCATTCAGACCACAGCAGCTCTGAGTCCTCCTGAGCCAGGCTGTCCCCTCTGCCCTGCTCTGTGGAGATGGGGTACAGAGGCGGGGGCCACGAGACACCCTGACATCAGCTCCCTCCTCCCTCCCCCACAGCGCTCTGCACAGCCAGCAGGAAGGTCCCGGGAGCAGCTGCAGGATGGAGCAAAGTGGGGATAGGGGCACCTGAACACATGCTGCCGGCTGTGCGTGCTCTGCTATCAGCTGGGGGGCACTTAAATCTCTCCTGTGCAGCTGCCAAGTGCATAGCTTACAGGGAACACAGGACTCAAGCCCTAATTATTGTCAGTTTTGCTTTCTGGTTCTGATAAAATAAGCACAAAGCTGTTGTCTTCAGGTTTCTAACAATTCAGAATAAGTTTTAATGTTAAGAAAACATGTCTATTCATTAGGATCTTATATTATCTATTCCTTTACTTAAAGATAACAAACCAACTATAGGACCTTAGCTGTGGCATCAGGTGCCTTAAGAAGGAAGGGGAAAAAATTGTTTTAAAAATGATACTTACGTTACTTTTGTGCTGCATTTTTGTTCTAACAAAACTACAGTTCTTTTAGATTTTGATTGTTTCTCAAGCATTTTCTCTTCAGCTAAATAGAGATGCTTCAAGTGCTCTGGGTAAGAATCGGTATATTGAACTTTCCATTGAGGATGTGCCTTTCCTTCCTTTTTTAGTAATTTATTGTATTCCCGATGGATCTTTTGCTTTCTCCAAAATGCAAATCCTTGTCCTGAAGCCATTAGAAAGAGTGAGTTAGACATAAACTATCTTAACTGCTACTATAGACCGGGGTTCTCAACCCTTTTTTCCCCCCCTCAGCCCCCGTCCTTCCCACAACATGCTATAAAAACTCCATGGCCCACCTGTGCCAGAATAACGGATTTTGTGCATATAAAAGCCAGGGCCGGTGTTATAGGGCAGTTGCCTGGAGCCTCATGCCATAGGGGCTCCCGCGAAGCTACATTGCTCAAGCTTCAGCTTCAGCCCTGGGTGGCGGGGCTCAGGACCCTGAGCTTCAGCCCCATGTGGCAGGGCTTCAGCTTTCTATCCTGGGCCCCAGCAAATCTAATGCTGGCCCTGCTTGGCAGCCCCAGTCCCCTGGTTGAGAATCATTGCTATAGACAGGGCTCCATTGTTTTAAGTTGCGTCAAGAAAACTGAGAAAGGCTTCATAACATGAAGGTGAAAATGGCTGATCCCTACATTAGCACTTAGGCTGCTTGCACTGGTACAGCTGCACCATTGTAGGAAAACAGTTGTAAAACATGGTAGTGTGGGTGCAGCCTTGCTGATGATAATCATTTAAAAATACTTGGATGAATACACCAGATGATTTATAAGGTCTCCTTCCTGCTTTTACAAATCCAGTTTTGAACAGTTTTCACTTATCACAATCTCTTGCTTTCAGCCCTATGTATGAGATCAAAGGGAATTCATAAAGATGGTCTCAAAGAAGCATTGCTAAAAATAATCTTGGATGCCCAAGAAATATGCAACTACAACTGGAACAAAACTGGCTCAGTTATAGAAGTGCAATGCTTTAAAGTATTTTTGAATAAAATATTGCCTTCTCTTTCTTCATTTACCTGTTTTTTATAACTGTCCAGGGAAGAGCTCTCTCTCAAGCCTAGAAATATATGCCACACTCAACATATACATGACTATTATAAGCATTCACTCAAGTCACTCAAAGAAAAAATAAATAAATAATTGTTCCACTTTGTATAGCCATTTATCAGTGTTAGAAGCATAAATGGGTGTCTTCTTTTCCATCCAGAAGGATTAAACCCATTCTGGAACTTGGATAACAGCACATGGTTTCCATACAAGCTTTTAGTTGAATCATTCCTGCTCAATGGCCAAAATTTGAGAGTTGCTTGGCTCACCCTCCAGTGTCTTCTCTAAAACACTTTATCACGGACAGTTAGACATACCTGATGAACCTTACTACGAATGAAAGAATGAGAATGCATTTGCAACACATGTATTTCTTTACATCCAGCTAACCACAGAGCTGGCCTGAACCCAAAGCAAAGAAAGCTTGGGAGCCCTTCTGCATTCTGGGATCTCAAGAGCCAACTAGTTACAACTCTAGCAACTCCTCATTGCAAGGTGGGCCCTGTTAGATCATGACCAGCCTTATTTATTTACAGTTCTCCAGTTAGCATTTGTCAGGGATCAGGGTCTAAGCTAAGGAGGGGAGTCAAGTATCAGGGGGTAGCCGTGTTAGTCTGGATCTGTAAAAAGCAACAGAGTCTCCTGTGGCTCCTTTCAGACTAACAGATATATTGGAGCATAAGCTTTCGTGGGTGAATACCCACCATGCGTATGACGACGTGTGTATTCACCTACGAAAGTTTATGCTCCAATACATCCGTTAGTCTGAAAGGTGCCACAGGACCCTCTGTTGCTAAGTAGGGGAGAAGACCCAACTGAGCCTGAGTCCCCTCACACCATCCCACGGGGAATCCTGCTTCCACAAACCGGGCGGGTAAGAGGCATGGGGCACAGCCAGCACCACTCCTCGCCACTGTAATGGTCTGAGAAGCGCCAGGCTTGGCTGCAGCCCGTGAGCACAGGGCAATCCGGGGCTTATGACACCACGTGCAACGACGGCAACAGGCCCCGAGCGGCTGCGGGCTGCGCGAGCGCTGGCACAAGGGACCGGGGCGTGGGAGGTCAGGGACGGCCGTTGGGGAGAAAGCGCGAGATACCCCCTATCCCCCGCGCGCGGCCCCTAAACGCTAGAGTCCGCGCGAGGCCGCGGCGCCGCTCCCCCCTCCCCCAGCAGCAGGAGCCGCGGGGCCGGGCGGCGGTTCTCTCCCCACTCACCCTCCCGAACGTTCCCCAGGAAGCTTTGCCGCGGGTCCGGCCTCCATTGCCGCTTTCGGCGGGGACCCTGGGCCGCCGCGGTGTTTTTCTTCGGGGCAGCCCGGCTCCTCGTCGTCACCGCCGGTGCCATCAGCCTTCCTCCGGTCCCTCACACTCGTCGTCGCGCTCTGGAGACGTCACCAACAGCGCCCGCCTCCTAGCGGACGGATGACGACCTCTGTTCGGTGTTCGATTCGCCAGCCTGACCACCTGAGGCAGGGTGGCGCCCGAGACACCCGGCCGCCAGGCATTACAAATCGAGCGCCGAGCAAACTTTCCCTCCTTCGCCGCTGTCGCCATGTCGCGTTCCCTTGGCTCCCTCCCGCCCGAACCGGCAGCGGAGACGGTGGCCTCCCGGCTGCGGGCCGTGGCGCAGTTTCTCGGGCGGGCGCTGCCGCTGTGCCAGGCCCACACGGTGGAGTTTTACACGCGGGGGCTGTGGGAGCAGCTGGTGGCTCTCTCTCCCGAGACGGTGCTGGAGGCGTTGAGCGGGGCCGGGCTCCTGCGGCAGCAGCGCCCCCTGGAGGAGGCCGCCGGCACCGCCAGGCCTGGGCTATGGGGTAAGTGCCAGAACCCCCGTTAGGGGAGCGTTAGTGCCCCGACGCTGCTGGTCCCATGGTGGGCGCTGGGGTCACTCCCTGGCTGACTCTGCCCCTCGTGGCTGTGTGACGACGGCATGATAGGTGGCCGTCACGGCCTGGCAGCCGGCATAGTGTTGCGACCGGGGCACCCCGCTGGGTGTTTCTCTTCAAGCCCCAGCTCCTGGAGTCGGGTGATTCCGTAGATGCTCAGCTTCCCTTTAAAAGAAATGCCAGTAGCCCTCCCATTGCGAGAAAAGTTTGACCACGGGACTTGCATGTACTAAAAGATCAGACACCAGATGGCGAAGTTTAGAGGAACCCCACATTTATTGTTTAAAGGATCGTGATTTTTAAGCCAAGCTCATGATTTTTGATCGCTTGTGGTTGGCAGTGCTCCCTCCGCAGCATCAGAGGAGAGACTCTGCAAAGCACGAGACTGCGGAATGGCCATCCCGCGCTGCGTTGTCATGCTGCAGGGACATCACTACCCCACCTGCTGCCGCAAGAGGGACCATCTCAATGTATTGTGAGATGGTTGGGCAGTTTTTTGGTGCCATGTTATACTAGCGTGTTCAAAACATCATGTGGGGTTCCTCTAATGAAAAGATGCAAGAAGCAGTGAGGTCTGATCAGTCATTATAATAAAAATATAAGGGTGAGAATACAGAAGAAAGAGAGCCAGACATTCAAGCTGAGAAACTGAGAAGGAGCCAGAAAACCATACATAATGGCATCTCAGAGAGAAATGGAAAAGCCAAATGGAGGAGATGGAATTGTAGCAGCGAGAAGAGCAGCTTGGTCATCAGTACTGAGACCAGTGCTGCTGTGCAACATATCAACAATCTGGAAAATGAGGTAATAGCTATGTGGTGATATATGCTGATGATTCGAAATTATTTAAGGTTAGGGAGGACTATGAGGAACTCCATTTGAGTCTCAAAAATTAGTTGATGAAGTTGTAGACAATTGTGCATTGAAAGGAACAATTTAAAATAGGTATGCCCAGTGCCAAGTTTTCAAGTACAGTGCTAATAACAATTAAAATATTTCTACAAAGTAAAAGATTGCATTTTTGAAAACTGGCACAAAACAATTATTTTGTGCAATATTTTGAATTGTCATATGGATGCCAAGTGCTTAATATTGCTTAATACAGGAGGGTGATTTCTTCTATTAACTGATTCCAAGAACATTCCCATGTAATTTCCATATAGACCAGATTTTCATATAAGGAGCATATAACGGGTGTAACCCTCATTTCATGTAGCTTACATAAATTCAGATCCAGTTTTAGACATAGAGAATACCTACTCTATTTTTCATGCATCTAAGATCGGACATTTACCAAGTTACATCTCATTTATCTAGCCATGATTTAGATCAGGGGTTCTCAACCTTTTACCTTCTGAGCCCCTCCCTCCCCCAACATTCTATAAAAACTCCACAGCCCACCTGTGCCGCAATAACTGATTTTCTGCATATAAAAGCCAGGGTGGCATTAGGGGGTAGCAAGCAGGACAATTGCTTGGGGCCCCATTCCACAGGGACCCCCATGAAGCTACATTACTCAGGCTTCAGCTTCAACCTGGGGTGGTGGGGCTTAGGGACCTGGGCTTCAACCTCATGCAGTGGGACTTCGGCTTTCTGCCCTGGGCCCCAGCAAGTCTAATGCTGGCCCTGCTTGGAGGCTGCCCTGAAACCTACTTCGACCCCTGGTTGAGAACTACTGATTTAGATGACTGTAAAGTTAGATACAGATTTTCTAAAAAGTCTGTAACCATTTATTTTGCATTTTTATACTGTAAATTGCTCAAATATTCATGGTATAATTTTAACTTTTTGGCACGTTTATTGTTTGCCTGAAGACCTAGTTACAGGTGCATGAGCTGACTGGTTAATGGACATACTAGATTTCATGTGGTGGGCAATCTTAAAGTTAAAATGCTTTGAGAAATTCTGCCTTTGTGACATTTCAAAACAACACGCACTACAATTCTGTACTTTGAGGAAACAATTGAGCTGTCTTTGATATAATTGGGTTTTTTTTTTTTTTAGCTGCCGGCTAAATAACAATTTAAATTGTTAGGATTATGTATACAGATCATAGCATGCTAATATTACATGATGATCTAAATATTTATGTTTGCTGTCCTGCAACATATTATTTAATGATATAATAGAATGCAATGAATTTAAATAATATTAGTCTCTTACTTCCTTTTATTCAGTGTATACTTGTAAACATATCTTTTAACAATACAAAAGCAGATATCAGAAGGAGTGCTGTATTTTGGTATTCCTATATTTGTGGCAAAGCCTTTTTTTTGCAAATAGTTTTGCCTAATTAAGTAAAAATGATGCAGAAATGGATAGTTGGATCCATTTAACAAGTTCTATTTGAGGTTAACGTTGGCACAATAAGGACATGACTATTTTACAGATAATCCTTTAATGAGCTCATTGCATGCATTTCCAATACATTGGAGTTATTTATTTACAGCTTTCACATATTACTATGAAATAAACCAGACTAACCTATGCAAAATAGGTCACTGAGCATAAGTGGGCAATATATATTTACTTTATTTGTTTATAGATAACTTGCAATTGTTTTCACTTCCCCAGATTAAATGCAAATATTTCATCTAATCTTCATCAACAACTGAATTGCCTTTAGTAGAAAGAACAAAAATGTTTCAGTCACTAATGCTTGGTTTAGGATGGTAATACAGATGTGTTTTAGTCTATGTAATCTTTCCCATCACATTGTTAAAGAAATGCATACATCCGTAGTTAACAAGGGTTTCTTGTTTTCATAGATTAATTATAGTGAAATATTTCCCAAAACTATGCTATTATTCCTGTTTGAGGGGAGGAAAAGGTAACAGTACCATTGTAATGACAAAGGACATATTTTCCCCAAGTTTTAATTTTATTTATTGATGTTAGAAACCAGTATATTTAAAAGATAAGAACCTCTCAGGAATACCTCTACCTAGCCAGATGTTGAGGAAGGAATCACTCAGAAATCAAAATGTGTTTCCAGCATACATATATAAATGTTACAGAAATGAAAGTTCATTCATATCTGTTTCTTATTCATTTTACATATGCTAAAGAAGTATTTAAAAATATATAGCCTAAAGACTTTAAAATCTATATTTTAAAAAAAGTGCTTAGTTAATTTTGGATGATTATATGCAAATGAATGGGAGAAATAAATTGTGTTGGAAAAGGGTTTCTTATGATTGCCCTGAAAGCAACACATTTTTATTTTAATGTAGTAATGGCTAAAAAAGACTATATTCTTGTAATCCTTGTCTTTATAACTCATGATTGTATATGCCAGGTTTACAAAAATGCTGAAAGGAAATTTACTAGATGTTGGTTAGTCTGCAAGAAATCTAATTCTAAGATAAATAAATGTGTGTATATATATGTTTATAAATTTATATACATAAGATTGGATTGGAATTTTCACAAGTTTTACAATAAAAAGGAGTAACAACAATGCGGTACCACTTAAAACATCATAATGCCTGTGAAACAAAATTGGAACACCTCCTCCCCGACAGGAAAATCAGGTTGTTTTTTTTCCTCTTGGCAACACCGATGAACAGCTGGCTAGTAGAGAAATCCCTCTGCAGTTTGAGATTTAATACTCAATCTCTGTCATACTCCCAACAATTGCTGGCCTGTAGCCTTGGTTGTTGACTCCCCCGACCTTTAATCTGGGTCTCTTGCTTGACAGATTAGTGAGTTGTCTGTACTGTATCAAACCTAAGGATTTCTATGCAATTTTTATTGCTTTTGGCTATACTTATTTTGTGGATTTGTGTGAATTTCATGGAATTCTGTCCCAGGGAATTGAAAATAAGTTAAATGAATAAACCTTTATTTTAAAAATACATATTTTTATTTTTATTTAGTAATGTCGATAAGGAAACAAAAAGAATCATGTATAGTTTCACTCCTTGAAACAAACCCAGGGCTGATTTTTTCCGGCCAGCGGTGTAGAGAGAAAGTAGAGAGAAATTACTAGGGCTGTCGATTAATTGTGGTTAACTCGCGATTAACTAAAAAAAATTAATTGCGGTTAAAAAAAATTGATTGTGATTAATCGTACTGTTAAACAATGGAATCTCAATTGAAATTTATTAAATATTTTGGATGCTTTTCTACATTTTAAAATATATTGACTTCAATTACAAATATTTGCACTGTAAAATGATAAACAAAAGAAACAGTATTTTTCAATTACCTCATACAAGTACTGTAGTGCAGTCTCTTTGTTGTGAAAGTGCAACTTACAAATGTAGATTTTTTTTTCAGAAACAAAATAATGTAAAACTTTAGCACCTACAAGTCCACTCAGTCCTACTGCTTGTTCAGCCAACTGCTAAGACAAACAGGTTCGTATACATTTGCAGGCGGTAATGCTGCCTGCTTCTTACTTACAATGTCACCTGAAAGTGAGAACAAATGTTTACATGGGACTTTTGTAGCCAGCATTGCAAGGTATTTACGT